TAATGATATGGGACAGAAAGGGAAAAGATTGATGCATAAGAGATGAAGTAACATGGAAAATTGGCCAATTTATATGGACTGACTAAAATTATAGGCCGCTCTATGGTGGTTATAATTACAAACAGTTCACAATATATCAAGGCCTCAAGCACATGATACTTCTAGTGAGGTTGCTACATGGCAAGGGTATTGGTTAATGATATGGGACAGGAAGGGAAAACATTGATGCATAAGGGATGAAGTAACTTGGAAAATTGGCCACACTATGGAGTATGGACTGACTAAAAATATAGGCCGCTCTATGGTTGTTTGAATAGTTAACTATCATCAGGCTTTAAGAAATTGAACTTACTAACAGTTCGCGATATATCAAGGCCTAAGCACACGATACTTCTAGTGAGATTGCTACATGGCAAAAACTATTGAACTTCTGCTTTTTCTTGTGGTCTGTATGAAAGATGCATATTTAAATGACATCCATATTCTTCTTGTTTGCTCTGCAGGCACAGACACTTGCCTCTATCAATTTACAAAGCCCAGAATTTAAGACGTGTATCAGTTGCAGCACAGCGTAAGAAAGACGATAGAAGAAGAGCTCACAGCGGCCCATCCAGTGTGCAAAAGAAGCCTCTGCGAACGAGCAAAATTGTCAAAGAAATTGAATGAGTTGCATCAGCTTCAAATTGATACGCTAGACCCTGTCCCAGCTCTACAAGCTTGCTTGCAACTAAAATGTATTCATGAAGAAGGCAATGTTTATCGATTCAGCAAGGTGGGATATCTCTATTTCAGAACATAGGGACAGAATCTTGATACCTTGTACGTTAGTATCCCAATATGTAGATTAACCAATGCACCTAAACAAAATCTTGATACCTTGTATGTTAGTATTTAATATTTGATTAATTTTAATTTAGTGGACATGCTCTCGAAAACACAATAGCTCGCCATTCATTGTGTTGTCATTATTGTTGAAGATATGGCCACGAGTATGATCTTTGATGATTTTTGCAGAAATGAAAATCATCAAAGATTAGAACCCTTCGAAGTTAATTATCTGAAAGATATAGCTAAGAGTATGAGCTTTCTAGAGAAGTTACATTATTCTTCTTTTGTGCCTCCTCCAAATGATCCCTCCTGCCCTTTAATGCAACCTCATACGAAGTATTCATTTGTTTGTTCATTGTGCAACCATGTCAAAGTTTCTCCTCTAAACAACGTTGACATAATTATCCAAACTCATTCCAGGATTCGAAAACTATAAGCTGGTGCTTGGAAGCCCACCACTCCCTTGTTTTGTAGGAACAATTATTGGTGCAAAGCGACATCTCATCCAGCCTTCGTGGAGACCCTTGTTGAACGAAATTGTATGTTTCAAACTTTCAACTCTCCCATGAGTTAGAGGTGTAATGTTAATTCGAACAACTTAATCTATGCTTGTGTAAGATGTGCAATTTCAGATATCAAATGCGGAACAATATCTAATTCGAAAACTTTGGATACCTAGATTTTCGAATCGATTGAAATTTCGGAAAGTACGATTTGTATCTAAACCAAAAACCTGGAATTTTTTCGAATACTTGATCCGAAATCTAAAAACCGGGTCGAATATTTGAATTTTCATATTAGATAATTTTGTTTAGTGTCTTAACGGTTAAAAAAAAAAAAGGTGAATAATTCATGTACATTCTGTGATAAAAAGTTTGATCCATTCTTTGCATGTTCTTAGTCAAGTACGTTTGTTGGACAAACAATAAATTGCCCTTAGGAGTAGGGTACAAATTATTATTATCAAGTGGATGTTGAATAGTATGTAGTACACAACAAATTTACAAAGTCATGTCAACTGATCTTTAATAACATAGGACATCAATATGACTTTTCAAACGACTTGCCTATTGACTCTATTCAATCTAAGACATTTTGCATCACTCATTTGTATTCATCTGTATTCAATTCATCATTCAGATATCTAGTGCAAAGAAGAAGAGAAAACACTGTTTCAATCTCATGTATCTAATGATTTGATCCCGAATTTTGAGTTAGTAACAATGATCCTTGTAGTTGTTCTGATATTAGCTGTACATACCTTAGCTCAAAATGAAACACAGTTTATCTACAATGGTTTCCAAGGATCCATCAATAAACTTCATGTTGATGGGATCGCGACTATCCTCCCAAATGGTCTTCTCCGAATGACTAACTACTCGTTCCACAAAACTTCCCATGCTTTCTACCCGCGTCCTGTGACCTTCAAACCATTCCGGCCATGGAATTATTTTCGTTATTCCATCTGAGTACATAGGACTCTTTAATCCTTCCACTAATGGCAATTCTTCTAATCATATAGGAGCAGTAGAGTTAGATACTGTCCAAAATGCTTATTTTAACGACATTGATGGCAATCATGTTGGGATTGATGTCAATAGCCTCGAATCTGTTGATGCTGCTTCAGCAGCATACTACTATGATAAGGAAAAGGTGAACAAAACTTTACTACTTACTAGTGGCAAACCAATGCAAGTATGGATTGAATACGACGAGGTTGAGATGTTATTGAGTGTAACACTATCTCCATTAAGTTATCCAAAGCCTAGCAAGTGTTTACTTTCAAAGCACCTCAATCTTTCTAGCATACTCCTTCATTCCATGTATGTCGGCTTCAGTTCTGCTACTGGCCTTACGGCAAATTGTCATTACATATTAGGGTGGAGCTGGAATCAAAATGGGAAAGCGCAAGATTTAAACCTTTCCAAGCTTCCATCACTACCAAAAATCAAACATCAGATTAAAAAAAAAAAACCAGCATATTATTTTTGTAGTTCTACTTATTGTACTTTTGATATTTTTAGTAATGATTGTTGCGGTTGTTTGGTTTATTTGGAGAAAAAAGTTTGAAGAATTGCTTGAACCTTGGGAAAAGGAATACGCCCCTCATAGATATTCATACAAGGAACTTTATGTAGCAACAAAAGGTTGTAAAAACTCCGAGCTTCTTGGAGTTGGCGGTTTTGGGAAGGTCTACAAGGGTGTATTACCTGCAATAAATCGCCAAGTTGCTGTAAAACGAGTCTCCCATGATTCGAGACAAGGGATGAAAGAATTTGTTGCGGAGATCTCTAGTTTGAGAAGGCTAAGGCATAGGAACTTGGTACAGCTCCTAGGCTACTGCAGAAGAAAGGGGGAGCTTCTTTTGGTCTATGAGTATATGCCAAACGGAAGCCTAGACAAGTTCCTCCTTGACAAGGATGGTAAATCAAATTTATGTGGTCCTCGAGATTCAACATCATTAAAGGGGTGGCCTCTGCCCTTTTATACCTTCATGAGGAGTGGGAACAAGTTGTCCTGCACCGAGATGTGAAGGCAAGTAATGTCCTGTTAGATGCTGAGATGAACACGAGGTTGGGTGACTTTGGTCTGGCTAGACTCTGTGATCACAACAATGATCCTCGAACCACTCATGTGATAGGAACCATTGGATACATTGCACCTGAAGTCAGTAGAACGCAAAAACCTGCCACCAGTTCTGATGTGTTTGCTTTCGGAATGTTTCTACTTGACGTCGGTTGTGGGAGGAGGCCAACAGACAAGCAGTCTGATAATGATGCAGAAGACTTTTTCCTCAGTGATTGGGCTTATGATTGTTGGAAAAGGGGGAACATTCTTATGGCAAGTGATCCTACATTGGAAGGTAATTATCAAGAAAAAGAGATGGAGCTTATATTAAAGTTAGGCCTTCTCTGTTTGCATCCTAAGGCAGCAGAAAGGCCTACAATGAGGCATGCTGTTATGTTTCTTGATGGAAGTGCAACTTTGCCTGACATACCATCTGAATACGACACTGAAAGCGGAGTTTACTTTGGGGAGGTTTGGGGAAATTCAGGTTCATATCCATCATCATCTGGAACTGTCTCTCTCGGGCTCATGTCTAGCTCAAATTCAGTCCTTCAACATGGCCGTTGAATCATGTATTTCTAGTGTACTAGCTGTTAGAGTACTAGTTCAGATATTTAGCTGTTGATAAATTGGCATTAGTTCTTGCAATATTGTTATGTTAATAACTATAACATGCAATGTTAGTTCTTGCAATATTGTTATGTAACTCTAACATGCAATGTAAGTTTGTTGGATCATGTTTTATTATGTGCTATTCTTCAGAAGTTGAAACCTGCATTCAATAGCCTTCTAAGCAAATCTAACTTGCAATGTAAGCCTTTCTTGTGCTCTAATCTGAAAACATATAAGATCACTTGCTCAAGGGCCTTCATAGGAAAAAAGTTGTTAAAATACCTAGGCACACTAGAACCTCCAATTATCATGGGTTCATTATTTACAATTTTACAAATCTCATATCAGTTTCCTTCCAAAATCATCAACTTCAAAAACAGCAATTTTTTTGAAATAGAACAAACTACAAGGGAATTGAAACAATAAACAATTATTCTTTCAAAAAGGTGTTCCTTTTAGTACCGAAATATATACCCATATTCCGTTTTGAGGTGTTTTTATTTGATTACCTATTTTTACTTTATACTTCGTATAATTTTGGGTAAGCTGACTTAACTTCCCACACTCTCGATTTGATTTACCCTTTTTTTAACCCCACTCACCTTTTTATCCTCTCTCCATCTTACTTAATATTTTTTCTCAAACCTACTCACCTTTTTACAAACAAGAGTCAACAGTAAGTGAGTACATGAAAAGAAAACAAATGGAGTACATCATTAGTTCATTGTTGTAACTTAAGAGGCATCAAATACAATAAAAAATAAATTAAGCACTTGATTAAGTACCAGTACATATAATGATAGAATTTCTCCAGCACAACTCAATTCCAATGATTATTACTAATTTACTATGCACTAAAAAAAATTACGAAAAATAAATCTTAGAGTTGAATCTAACAAGACTCCTTATAAACTTACATAGTTACATATATATATATATATATATATATATATATATATATATATATATATATATATATATATATTCTCAAACGCCAAATCACAAAATGAAATCCAAATAACAAATCTAAATAGTTTCCAAATTCAAAACGTGTCAAATAAAAAGAAATCGAGGAGGTATATATTCGCCTAATTACAAAACCACCCTTAAATCTCCAAATTAGTTTACCTTCTTCCCCTCCTCCACAGTTCACCCTGCGCCAAGTGAAGCCACCCTCTGTTTTCTATCCACCGCCCCACCAACCGCCGCCGATAAAAATTGCCGCCTTCAAATTCACCCCTTTCCTTTGTTCTGTCACATTTGCAGCAAGGGTTTATGAATTTAAGGGGAATGATTTCAAATTTAAATCCTGAATAAACCCTAATAAGTTTTCAATAATTTGGATTTTTGCGAGTAATGCCCATCATTGGTTTCGCCTTAAAGCTGCTCAATTCCAGATTATTTTTTATTCCAAGTAAGTTGGTGTATTACTCTTTGCGTTCTTCTTGTTTCATTTCTGATATTCCAGCTCAAAATGTATCAGAATTTGAGGATGAAATTGATAGTGATATTGAACCTGTTATTATCAAAGAAATATTTGATTCGGCCCCGAGAATGGGTTCTTACCAATTGGGTGATTCCACCTTTTATCTTCTTATTGAAAATTATGCAAATTCAGGTAACTTTAGATCATTGGAGAATATATTTGATAGAATGAAACGCGAACGCCGGGTTTTTAGGGAAAGGGATTTCATTATAGTGTTTAAGGCTTATGGGAAATCAAATTTGCCTGAAAAAGCCATGGAATTGTTTGAAAGAATGGTAAATGAATTCGATTGTAAGCCGACGGTCCGATCATTTAACTCTGTTCTAACTGTTGTTATTGGAGTAGGTTTGTATGAAAAGGCCTTGAACTTTCATGATAGTGTTGTTGGAAGTATGAATGTTGTCCCAAATGTGTTAACTTATAATTTGGTTATCAAAGCTTTGTGCAAGATGGGAAAGGTTGATAAGGCTGTAGAATTGTTTAGAGAAATTCCTACTCAACAATGTGTTCCCGATGCTTTTACTTATAACACATTGATGGATGGGTTGTGCAAGATGGATAGAATTGACGAAGCAGTTTCGTTGTTGGATGAGATGCAGGTAGAGGGGTGTTATCCCATTCCAATGACATATAATGTACTGATCAATGGACTTTGCAAGAAGGGTAATATGCTTCGAGCTGCTAAACTTGTTGAGAACATGCTCTTAAAAGGTTGTAATCCTAATGTGGTGACTTACAACACCCTTATTCATGGGCTTTGTTCGGTAGGAAAATTGGATAAAGCAATGAGTCTCTTAAATCACATGGTATCAAACAAGTGTCTGCCTAGTGATATCACTTATGGAACTCTTGTTAATGGTCTTGTTAAGCAAGGAAGAGCTGTTGATGGAACTGAATTATTGCTTTCTATGGAAGAGAGGGGATTCAGAGCTAATGTGTATGTTTATTCCTCTCTTCTCAGTGGGTTGTTTAAGGAAGGAAAGCCAGAAGAAGCAATGAGACTTTGGAAGGATGTGATAGGGAAAGGAATTAGTCCAAATATTGTCCTTTATAGTGTCTTGATTGATGGTTTGTGCCGTGTTGGAAGACCTAATGATGCTAAAGAAGTTTTATCTGAGATGATCCATAAGGGCCTTAAACCTAATCCTTTTACGTATAGCTCCTTGATCAAAGGGTTTTTTAAGACAGGTAACAGCCGAGAGGCACTTCTTGTCTGGAAAGAAATGGAAGATAATGATTGTTTTCATAATGTGGTTTGTTATAGTGTGCTTATCAATGGTTTGTGTGAGGAAGGGAAACTTACAGAGGCTATGGCATTTTGGAGACATATGTTGGGTAGAGGGTTGAAGCCCGACACTGTTGCTTATAGCTCATTGATTCATGGCTTCTGCAAGGCTGGCTTGGTTGATCAGGGGTTGAAGGTTTTTAATGAGATGCTTTTTCAAGGCATAGATTGTCGGCCAGATGTAGTAACTTACAATATACTGTTTAATGGTTTATGCAACAGCAATCAAATATATCTGGCCATTGATCTTCTGAATGGTATGTTGGATCAAGGTTGTGATCCCGATCTATACACCTGTGACATTTTTTTGAGGGCTTTGAGAGACAAGATGAACCCACCACAAGATGGGAAAGAGTTCCTTGATGTGCTTGTCTTACGATTATGCCAACGACAGAGAGGTTTAGCTGCTTCCAATATACTGCAATTGATGTTGCAGAAATATTTGTCACCTGAAGCTTCTACCTGGAAAGGAGTTCTTTTGCTCTGTTGCAAATATAAGAAGACTATAGCAACTTTGGACAAGTGTAGGATTAACTTATTCCACTGACTGCAATGGTGAGACTTAGATTTGATTTCTACCATAATTACTTTTGTTTCAGGGGCTTCTTTAAGTCTATAATTTGCTCTAGATATCTATGCTTTTGCTTGGCTTCAAAAAAAAAAAAAAAAAAAGGTCAATTCTTATTCAAAATATTTGCCACCTTCTTTAAGGATCCAATAACATCTATGCTCTACGTCCTTAGCAAAATAATTTTTTGCTTTAGAAATGCTCATGCTGGTGTTGGCCTAACATAAAGGCATTGCCATTGATTCATTGTGTATTAGTCCCGCAGAGGCTGTGAGATTTCTGAATGTAGACAATTCTATCTCCATGTGACTAGTTGCAACTTACTTTTCTTTAAAGAATCTGCTAAATATGCTGCATCATGCTTTTCATTAGTTTCTCAGGTTATGGATTATTGTGAACTCTAGTTCAGAGAATATGATTTGATGTGCTTAGTAGTATCTTTGTCACTAGCTAGCCATCATTTGTAGGCTTCAGTCATGACATGTGTTAACAGACTTTGTAAAATATTTGTATCGATCACATTATTAAAGTGAGTTTACCTTGGTATTTAGTGTTTCTGAAGCAATTTTGCAGTTGTCAAAGCATTATTGTTTAAAACATCTTTTTCTTGGGATTGTTGGGTTAATTTTCTGGTGGTCTGGTGGAAGTCTATTCCTATAGGATTAGCTTCTTCTCAACATTTTGGGGACAGGATGATGTGAGGTTTGGTTTAGGGGTGAGTTTAGACTTTAGAGGTCACAGAGTTGCTGTCAATTAGATTTCGGGAATATGGTGGGGATAAGTAGATGTTGTGGCTCATCGCTTTTATGATAAGTAGAGGTGTTCAAGAAGTGCAGCAGTTCAATTTTTTCAAACACCTTTTGATGTAATCTCCCACCATACAAACACAATCTGAATGTTTTGGCAATTAGGTTTTAGATCATAGATGAGTTAGCTTGGATGTTGTTCTTTTGCGTTTTGCCTATCGTTTGTTAATCTACTCTTTTTTTTTTTTTTTTTTTTTTTTAATTAGCTAATCAAAGTGCTTCCCGAACTTTTTAAAATTTGATCTTATTGTCTTCTTCTGGGCTGATGAATGTAACTTTTTTTGACAACATGCTCATGCCACGCCAAGTTTCTCTCTAACATGTAACTTCAGAAGAAGCCTCTCCAAATTCTAATACAAAAGGTCTGTGCTGTACGATTCTGATCTTGCTTTGATGTTGTGTTTTGTAGGTTCTCGTAGCTGATCGATTAATTAAAATGTCCATCAGCTGAATTTTGGACAGATTATTTGAATCAGTTCAGAGGAAATACGGACATTTTCATGTACATGTTGCTTCAGGTTCATCTGGAAACACAGATTATTAGTGGCTGCTCATTAGACGGTTACCGCATCACTGATGTAATCATATGACTGAGATATTTAGGCCTCAATGATCATTGATCTAGAGGTATTATATGGATTCTTTCCCCTTCTTAATCAAGTATAAGATCCTGAATTTACTTGATCTACAAGAGGCTTCCATCAATTTGTAATATTAACCATTTTTCTGGCGATAAATTATGCTGCCAGCAGCTGCTCACTTTCATTTCTCATGCCAACTGTATTTATGTGCTCACTTACTTAATAGATCAATTACACTGGTTTTTTGCAAATGTTATTTATACCAAACAGAGTATACTTATCCCAAGTCCCATGAATATTGTATTATTGACCACCTTTACCTATTGGCTCTTTATTTCCAGTTTCATTGGAAGGCTAGAGGTGCTCTCATTTTTCAGGCTGATTTTCAACCTTTGGTGAGTGTCTGTGTACTTTTATTATACACAACTATGCAATCATTCTAGGCATTCTGCAGAAATAACAATGACAAGAAATTTCCAGCTGAATGGTTGGTGTCAGATCTTGAGTATTATTCTGTCAATAGAGCCTTAGGTTACTATAGAAAACATACTGTTCATTGTATTTTAAATGATGAAATTGGCAACCCTGAACTTCAATCTGCGCTATATTTCATTTCTGGTGATAACTTGCAAGTTGCAATTATTGCTGTTATTCTAGATAGATTTCAAGATGCAGATTTTCCCGACCTTAGAATCTGCAAATTATTGCATATGGAGGACTGAGGAGTGAGGACATGTTGTGAAGGTCTGAAAACTTAACATGATAGAGAATCTTGTTGCAGAAAGACTTGTTCTTTATTGCATTTATATATATGATACTTGATGTTAATTTTTTCCATGTTACTTAATACAGAAATCTAGCCTTCCATCTAGTTGGAACAACCTGTGTTACTGTTGATGCGTGTTTATCCCTGCTTCACAGGTAAGGTTGTGCCAAATATTTCTGATTTCTAAAGGCTGATGAATGGTTTAACTTCTATGGATTCCATGTTATGGTATGTGTTTACTAAGCAATTCCTTTACCTGAAGTGTTGGTGCTCAAGTCAAGTGGTAAAATATTATGTAGCCGAGTGACTGCAAGTGTATTTTGCTATTAAATTCAAACTTTTGGTTCTATTTTTCTTTTGACCAATCACCAACAAATCCTTCAAATTATTCCCTGTTTATACCCATGACTTCGAGAATAATGTTTAATAAAACTGCAACGCATTCATAAACCAGAGCTTACGTCTGTTGCTATGTGCACCAGAAACGTGGTGGTGTATATTTGGTCCTCTATATTCAGTTGGTATTTTCATTAATTCCCTTGTCGTAACACGGAAGAAATTACACACCTAGATTATTTCTGAGCCCCAATATTCACCTGTCATTAATTCCCTTGTGCCAAAAAGATTTATTTGGCACAACAGGGGAAACAATGGATAGATTTTTTCTTGCTTTCTCTTCCTATTTTTTCTTTGGATTGTTGAAGTGGGGCTCTTGACTTTTTGTTCTACAGGTGGCAGATAATTCGGAACTGAACTGTTAGTTCTTCAGTGGCCTGTACGAAGTCAACGCAGAGCTGCTCAAAATAATTCCATGGAAACATAATGTAAGTTGTGTAGAATAGTTTCTGTTCAACATGGTCTGGCTGCATATGATCAACATTACAGGACATGTTGAGAAAGTTTACCCTTCTGATGCTATTGTATACAAGTATATACTTGCATGGAAGCTGAATTTCACGGATACAGCCAGGCATCGCATTCATCTGCAAATGAAAATGGTTAGTGTAAAGCTGTAAACATTGAAGCCATAGTGAATTGGCGTAACTTGTGTTGAAGTTGCAACGGAGACGCAATATCTGGATCGGAACAAAAAGGGTTTTTTATAGTATTTATTCTCATGAGTTTCACTTGTGATGCATTTGTAAAATCATTTTATACTCTTCGTAAAGGTTTTATTTCATTTTTTGGAAGATCTTACATTTCAGATTAGAAGAAAATTGAACATGAATAACCCTCAATTTGGGAGACTATCTTGTATCTTCTCAAAGGCTTGTCAACGGCAACATTTATAGCAAGTCTAGGGTTTTTGTTTTTTTTCCAGTTAATGTTATTCCTGCTTAAGTTTTTGCTGCTTTGTGGCTCGTTTAATTTTAGATTTTTTTATTTTTGTGGTTAATTATACAAAGTATGTTGTTAATGACAAGACATAATTAATCAGTTTACAAAGAAAATATAAATGAGCAAAATTTGAAGTAAATGTTCAAAAGAACATCCTTTTTTTTTTTTGAAAGGCTCAAAAGAACATCCTTGATGCACTTAAAGCCAGATAATATAGGTTTTGTGAAGAGACTACTAAAAAGGTAATTCAGTTAGATGCGGTCATACCGGTGATTTATCCCTATGCCTACAAAAGAAAATAGATAGATCACCAAACAAACAAGTGATATGGTGAAAATTCTACAATGTTATTCTTTAAAAAAGGCACCGCAATTTGTTAATGTGGTAAAATTTGATTGGCCCATATTTTGTATTTTTATTTTCATTCTGAATTATTTTTAATGTCCATGATGTATTACAATTGTATTGTTTTTATGTATTCTTTTTAATACATGTATTTTTTTAAGAAATACATAATTATAAATTAATTTTCGAAATTATAATTATAATTAAAAACCCCAAAATTAAAATTGTTCATCATTGTTCATCAATGTTCTTCATTCATGTCATAGATTAGCCACCCATTCCCAAAATCATTGTTAATTGTTGATAAATTCTCAAATTCAGCTTTAAATCGGGATTAAAATTCGTATATCAATTGTGTTTTTGCGTTTCGTTTTTTGCAGTTTTTGATTTTAGGTTTTTGTTCATTAAAAAAATCTCATTTTACAATCTCATTTTTGTTTTATATAATTTGTTTGTAATTAAAACTAATTTTTTTAGGTAATGACCTAAATAAATACAGGTAATTACCTAACCATAAACAGATTACAAAAATAGCAAATCTCGATTTTGGATCAAACAGGTCTGCGAAAAAAAAAATGAACTCTAAATCGCAGAGCACACCCTCGTTATCCATTGATCGTTAAAAAAAAGGAAAAGTTGCCAAGAATAATCTCAACTTTGCTTCATCCACCCAAAATAATCCCAACTTTCGATTATTTTTTAATAATCCCAACTTTATACTTCATCTGCTCAAAACAGTCCCGGGTGATCGGTGACCTATTAAACAGGTAAATTTTTTTTTAATGGTTTAATGCACACGTGTCACCACGTGATTGGTAAAAAATAAATCCCCCGCACGACCCGGGCCATCCCCTCCGGCAGGCGCCACCTCTGTCCCCCTCCCCTTGCCGGCGCCGGGCCGAGCTACCCACGGTCGGCGCCATCCGTAACCTTCTCCCGCCTGAGCCCTCTCCCTTCCACTTAATTAAACCACCAACCCCTCACCCCAAAATACCACGAAATGTCCTTAAAAAATAGCCATTAAAGCAATTATAGCCAACAATAATTACACAACAGAGAACCAAATTACTAGCCTGTTCCACCACCATGAGCAAGAAAATTAATTTATCATAAAATCAAGAATAATTAATTACCAAATGGCAGCGCCATAGGTTGTCATGACTATTGCTTGGCTTAGCACATCTGAGTTTCAATAACAGATGTTTTGGGGTGAGGGGATGATGTTTGGGGTGAGGAAATAGTGGTTTAATTATGTCAGGGCGGCGCCGGCGCCGGGGAAGGGGGAAAGTGTCTGGCCGACGGCCGGCGCTTGGGAGTCAGGTGGTTGGGCTCGGCAATGCGGGTGGCTTGGTTGAAGAGGCTGGTGTTTTTTTTTTTTTTTTTCTTCTCTTTTTCTGTTTTTTTTATTATTTTAAACCTATCGTAGAATGACACGTGTCCAGTAACCTGTAATAGCAAATTGAATGATCGGATGGGACTGTTTTGGGCGGATAGTGTATAAAGTTGGGATTATCTAAAAATAATCGTAAGTTCGGATTATTTTGAGCGGATAGAGCAAAATTGGGATTATTCTTAACAATTTTTCCTATAAAAAATGAAAGATCTATGTTTTAAATCATCATAATACATGCTCCTAAGGCTAATTTTATCCTCAAAACTATCAAACAACTTGATTTTTACATAAATCAAAATTATCAATCGAACCCTAAAACGAAATTTGTATACGGATCATGGAAGCATATTCGAAACCGATAAATCCGATCTTTGGACAGAATTTTGGCGGGAATTTTGGTCTGAGTTCCGAATAGATTATACAAGATTTTGGGGGTGGTTAATTAAGATCATGAATGAAGAACAATGATGAATTTTTTATTTTCTAAATTTAATTATAATTTAATTTTCGAAAATGATTTTAAAAAGATAAAAATAGATTTTAAAAAACTAAAATTATGTATTCTTTAAAAAAAACACATGTATTTACAATTATACATACATTTATAATACATTTAGGATTTTAAAAATAAATCAAAAATTGATCAATCATAACATGACATATCATCATGTTATGGTGTCATTTTTTTGAAAAATGACACAGTAGACATCCCCGTGATATGGACCATGTGGACAAGGTGGATTACAAATTCCTATCTCTTTCCCATATACCCCTGAACAAACAAGTCGGTTAGGTAATACATACAAGATTTAAAACCAATTAACCTAATTACGAAATAAAATAGAAAAGAATAAAACATAACATCCGAAGTATATGATTAAAAACATTTTATAAAAATACCAGTTGCTTGCTGATGATCACTGAGGGTAGGGTACATAACTAAGCAAAGAAGTACATAGACTAATATAAGTATAGATTATCTATCTACAATTCAAATGTATACATATAATTCTATTATTATACATCCAAGTTTCTTTGGATCCTAATACAAGCAATCAGAACCAATCAATAACTAGTATAGAATATATCCAATTAAAAAAAATAAAAACATTATTTATCCAAGTTTCTTTGGATAATAATTAAAACAAAAAAAGAAGAATTGACTTAATTTGAAAGATGGGTGAAATGCATAAAAATAAAAACAAGTTGCTAATTATCTTTAGTGAGTAAATTAATGCTTCCTTATAGTAGGACAACCAAATGATTGGTACATAATATTATAAAATATATTTGTGGTATCCCTAGTTTTAGTTCCACATGTGGTGGGAACCCTAGCTAGCTAATTAAGTTGCTACCTGACAAAATTATAAACCTTGGCATTCATCATCTCTTTAAAGAGTCAGACAGAAGTTATACATACATACGTAGCATGCAACCCAACCTAACAATGACAGATTTATATATCTTAATTACCTGCAATTTCTAATAAGTTGAATTTGGTAAGTACCATATAATAATTGGTTTTTCAGTGGTGACATATAAATGAAAAGAGGAATGGACAAATTGTAGTTTGTAGTGTGGATGGATGGAGACACGAATCTAAATAAGTGCCTGACTCAACTATTTTGTAAGAAAGGAAAAAAAAATCATGATTTTAGCTCATATAGTATTTGTTGACGTGTTTAAATTTTACTCCTATGTTAGAGTTAAGGATTCAACCCAACTATTTGAAAAGTTCAAGTAACAATGTAACAATGAAAAGTTCGAGCTATTCAATCTCAAGTAGTTCTAGAGCTTATTCTCTTTAACATATATATTTCAAAATTATATCAAAATTAAGGTTTTAAAACTAATGTAGATTGATAATGAAAATTACCTATAATATAGATAATGAAAATACATTTTTTAATTGAGACAATTTGAATGTAACCCGATTTTACTTGATAATGTTTTTCCTTGTGTATTAGTGTAAAAATACTGTAAAATTTAGTCAAATCTATACGGTGGAGCGAAATTAATCAAATTAGATAAACCTAACAAGACCTTTATAAAATGAGAGAACATCTTATTTCAAATGAAGAGAACTTCTAACGACTTTTTTTTTTTTTTTGGTTAAAATGATGAGATTAATTAAAAATACATAAGAGTATCACATTTGATTAGATAAGTTTTGGGTGGTTTAATGGCCTAGCAGGCAAATCGGTATTTATCACATGCATGCATTTAAGGTGATGAGTTACTTTAATTTGGTGGTCTAATTAAAGAAGACTTGTAAATTAAAAGGATCCACCAAGTTGTTCTCAAAACCCTTACACAACTTTTAAATTTTCAGGTCTCCAAATCAATGAAAGAGGCTATTAGAGAAACCACCTACTGAATACTGATATGATTTTCTTATATATTAGGTTACACTTATACAGTAGATTCCAATGAAAATCTATCTAGAGTGCTTCCTCCAATCCTTAGTATTTGCCACATAATTCCAATTTTTAAAAAAAATGTAATTTACGTAGTTTTGTCCTTTATCTTGCGCGGCAGGAAATAAAGTCTACATGAAATGCGTATTTCTGGACTACCAAATTAAGAAAAATAGAGCAACCTCAAACAGGCGAACCAAACAGAAAATTAGGGTGATATATATTTAAGGAACGCAAGAATAATATTTTATTATATGTTGCTTGTGTTCTAGTTCAAAACCCTTTTCAATATGATTATTATTTACCTATTGGGTGTAATAATGTTTAATTTCTTTGAGCTCATCAAGCTAACTTAAAGAGAAAAGCTACTAGAAAAAGATCTGAATTTGAAACAAATCAGCATACTACTTGTTTTGATCATCACACCCTCCTTGATCTTTTTCTTTTTTTTGTGTTTGCTTTTATTTTTGCTTTTGCTCGAATCTAATTATATTACACGTTCAAGACTATTTTTTTCCAAAAGAAATAATAAAGTAAGTAAAATTGTAAAATTTGCCTTATTACTTCAAATATGTTACACTTAAGTAATTCATGCAAAAAATCGAAATATTTATTACAATGTTTAAAATTAATAAAATATTAGTATCTTACAAGTTACAACAACATTTAACCTAATTTTACATGTTATACATGACTAGATCTAGAATATGCAATGGCACAATAATCCTCCCTATATTTTCTTACATTATGTGCGTCATCCTAAAATATTTCGATTATCCTTCATTCGATCGATTACATGAACAAATTTAAATCTCCGGCTTAAATATATTCAAAATCGATCTCTTCGTCCCAAATAATAATCTTAATAATGTGCATATACATCTATAATTCCGTGAAGTGGGAGCTACATAAAATATTAACAAACTAGAGTTGATCTTCAAATGTTGATTAATTTGCACTAAGGTAATTTAGTAACGTAGAAGTAGGGATCAAGCAAAGTCCCTTCTTTCGTAGTTCCGATTCTAGGGAACCCGTGTTCATACTATCTCCGGCTTGCCGTGAATTATTATGTCCATTTTCTTGCATCTGAATCAACCCACATACAATAACTTGTTAAGAATTTTATTTGACATCAAAAGAATTTTTTTTTTTTTTAAAAAAAAAAATGCAAGAAAAGTCAAGGTCTTTGATTTTCTTATTTACCTGGCAAATATCTCTACTTTCTATCTCATCTTTTGACTTCATGTAGAAGAGATTCAAATGATTGACCTATTACAAATCAAGAACAAGGGTTAGAAAATTAAACATACATCAAAACTATGTAATAAAATGTCAAAAATTTTATTTATACGTTTAATATATGAAAATTATACACTCATATATGTAACGATTATTATTATGAAAATACCTCGCTAAGCTAGCTACAATAATTTGTTTAATTTATATAAATGTATACATTACCTTTGGACTTTGAACGGGTGAACTAGCAGTATCTTCCAACTCATGATCAACAAAAGCCGCCTCCATTGTTTTTCTCTTCTTAGACATAAAATTTTCGCGGTTCTCCTGCAATAGGAAATCGGATGCTGCACCGGAATAATTTGAGGAGGTTCCGAAACAAGAAAAGATGGAACTATTATCTTCATTGTCATCATAATCTTCGTCGTTAATAAAATCTTCAAGGTCTAATTTGATCCGATCATCACTCGCCTCGAATGAAGTATTATTAGCTTCAAATTTAGATGATGACATGATACATCTTCTCTTGTGATTTGTTGTGCTCATCATAGAGTAAGCCATTTTATCAATAATCTCGATCTATATATGTGTATGTAACTGTTTCGAGTATGGATTAGGGAACTTGTGTTTAGGGCCGGTATGCTATGAACAAAAATTCTTTTGAATGGGAGGGCTTGACTATTTTGGAGCAGTTGCAAGAAGGGTATGTATGTGAGTTTATATAGGAGGAATAATAATGCAAGTTGAAAGGGTAAAAAGAGATGAGAATGGAAAAAAGTGGGCCATAAGAATAAGAAAGTTCTTCTAAATTTATAAGGTGATGCAAGGAAAGGGATAGGAATTTGGTCTTCAATAGTTTCAGAATATATTAAGTCCCAACTCAGATTTGTCATAATTCTTTTGGGTCCCCCACTTTATTTGACTTGGAATTTGGATGCATTAAAGCATTGCATACATAAATTGCTTAATTATGTTATAAATTTGAGTATATAATTAAGTACATGAAATATAGTTAGTTATTTAGGTTTGAATACGGTGAGGTAATTTTGGTCGATAATATCACAATATGACGTTGATGGGGTGTAACCATTTTACTTTTAATTTAACGAGTATGATCAAGTTTTTAAAAACATAGTCCATTATCATTAGAGGGTTAATTAACGAGATAGTTGTATTGATGAGGAGCTGACTTGGTACATTAGTGTTGTATACAAATCATGCATGATTATTGCAAAATTGGAGGGAATTTATAGAGTTTTTTAATTCATTAGTAAACTTAGAGACATGGAGAGTCAAATTTGCAAGTCTTAATATGATCATACATGACAAAGCAACATGAAAAGCTGTCATACATACACTATATATCAAATATGAAGTATGTGAAGAAGAAGTCTTCTTATTATTACCCTTACTCTATCCATAAAGAAGCATGATTATTGAATTTTATGGTATCAAATGAGCAAAAAATAACCTTAAACCGGGTCTATATAATAATTTTCATGTGACAATTTGGCCATCATTTGTTATTAGACATCAAAAATACAATGTACTAATCATCATATAATAAGGTGATGATTTAGACTTCTTTAATATGTCAACTTATTTGAACAGACAAAGAACGGTATTTGCTTACATTGTATTGCATCAGATGATGCAAAAACCATATTAACAGGAATTAATAAGAAAAATACCAATTAATTTAGATTAAATTTAAGGAGACATACATTTTGGTCATAATTGTCAAATTTATCAACTTAGTTGTGAGTCACTAGTTTTGAGAAAAGGAGAAAAATATGATAAAAGTAAGATCCAATGATATGGAGTTAGCAGATAATGTATTGACTTAAGCAGGAATCAAAATATAATTAATGGTTGAATTAAATTTACCAAAATAATATTAATATCTTATGAAATGGACATTAATAGATTCTCCTTTCTTCTAATATATGTGTCACAAGATGCTTACCAAAAAAATTTAATTTAATGACAATTAATTTGCTATTGGCTGCCACTTGATTCCTATTCAATAATTGAGATTTCTTTGATTTTAATTCTTCTAAGATGAGCATTAATTAACATTTAAAACATCTAATTAAATATTAATTAGTATGGCCTACATTAAAGATTGCAGTGTCAAGATCAAAATCTACTTTATAGTGTCAAGGAATTAATTAGAATTAGCTATTCTCTGACAGTGAAATATTTTTAGCTAATGACATAGTTTATATACATGGGGTTTAATTGTATGATTAATTATGTGCTTTAGAAGATTGTCACTTATCTTCAAAAATCTTGAAATGATGTCATTTTGGTATTATTCTTTATCTAGGATCCTTATACGTCATGTTCTACGTAATTTGAACTAAGCTAAAAAAATAAAAATAAAAACATTCAATAACCAGTAATTTTGACTCATTAGGTCCTTAACTTATAATGTCAAATGTGTTTTTATACATTTACGTAGACAATAACATATTTAACTTCACATTTGCAAATTACTCACCAATAAACTGTTGCGATTATCGTGATTCTCTCTAGTAACTAGACGGTAATTAAATAGGCCGGGAATGTACATAATGGAGTTTGTGGGATACATTTTGTTACAACAAATAAAACAGGCAACAAAACCGGTCATAAAATCCATGCAGATGAAATTTCTTCGTAATTAGTGCGTTTTATTTATCAGATTTTCACTCTATTTAACTCATTAAACCTTATCATAATTTATTTTAGTTGTAATTTGAAACTGATGAACAACAAACCCTTATCAACTAATTCTTATCAAAATTTATTAGGATTTTTTGTGAAAAACTACCTTATATACATCAAATTTTGTGAAAAAACTACCTTAATTATAGAAAAATTGTTGTAGGAAACTACCTTATAAAAATTAAATGTTTTAAGTTGCTACCATGTGCTTGATATAACAATGAAAGAGAAGAGGAATTAGGGGTTATAAGGGGGCTATGGAGAAATTGGGTGGGAAAAGGAGAAAAAATGATTGAAAATGGATCATTAAACGTCCCTTATTCAATGCAATAATTCGACAAAAGGTAGCTTCTTACAACATTAAGTGATTTATAAGGTAGTTTCTTACAACATCTAGTGTTTATAAGATAGTTTCTTACAATATTTTTTTAATAAAGTAGTTTTTCACAAAAACAAAAATGTGTAAGGTAGTTATTCACAAAAAGTCCAATTTATTATTTCCTTACCTAAACTTATTATTTTTTTTATATTATTAAAATAAGTAAAAATAAGGTGAATAGAACAAACCCTTAGCACAGAATATACAAGTACACCCTCGCTCCGTCTTGATCTAAATTGCAACAAGAACTTTTAAAGATGGAATTGAAGATTAGACAATAAGATAAAAATAACAAGCTAAGCTAGGGCAGGTAGGAGGTCAAAATTCATGCAGATTCTCTCATAATCTGCAATTCTCAAATCTCAGAAAGGATGATCATCATCCTCTAGGACAAGCTTACAAGCTAACGCATAATCGAACGCGGGTCCCGCGTTCGGCGGAATCTTGAAGATCTTCTGTGGACTGTTTTATGCATGATCTGATACTGATCATAAGAGTGATAACAATCTTCATTTCTTATCTTGAATACTGTAGGTTATTTGGCAACAGAAATACAGGAAATAAAAAACTTGTCTAAAATACCCATGATATATTAGTGACATAATAATAAACTTGTATTAATGAAAAGGATTCATTTCTGTTAGGATTTTATTTATATTGTTTTTTTATGATATAGTCATTGATCTTCATCATATCATCACCTTGTTAATCATCTCTTAATCACATAATTTATTTTTAATCTTGAAGATTTTGTCTAATATTTTTCTCATAAAAAGATATTGTTCCATTATTATGGTGCATATCATGTATATGTTGACCTATTAGGGCTAATATGATCTTCATTACCTTTCTTTAAAACGAGATGATATAATTTCCAAACTTAAAGCTAATACAAATTAAATATATATAGTCTCTCTACTGATAGCATTGAACCTTTTTTTTTATCTGAATGTATCTCCTGAATTATATATAGTCAAGGCATGGAAGGTTCTTGCATACAGATAGAGAACCGCCACGTTTTTAAATAGATTAGAATGAAATGCAACATTAAAAAAGAAAATACCGTGAGGGTTGATGTCTAGTCAGTTTCATTATATTCTCATTAAAATGAAATGCAACCCACCTTAATTATAGCATATATGATTTTTATCCACTACCTAAGACCTGTGATTAAATCCTATCTATATCACATACTATATACAGTTTTTTTAAGTAAGAAGGATCCCGACCGTATGTACCTCAACCCTCACGATTTTTTTGGTCTGGTATTTGCGGGTCAGATACTTCGAGAGTGAGGAGGAAAGGGTAAGGGATCCCTACCCTCAAAGTGTCTCTATTAATTTGGCAATTCATGTCAAAATCTCAATTCATGTCAAAATTTCACGTTAATCGATGTAATTGAATTTTTTTCATTCTATAATTTCTACTTAGTCATCTTGTCTAACGCCCAGAGGTGTTAATTAATTTTTGTTTAATAATAATCCTACGTGTATGTATTAACTCAAGACTTTGAAGATAATCTGAATAGTTCAAAAGAATTAAAGGATAATACATGCATAAATAAAAATAATTAAGATTAAAGCACATGGAAAAAGAGGTAGCTAGCATTGAATTGAAGTAGGTAATATTAAGCACAATCTGTACCACATGACACCACATGTATAAGCCGCAAACTCAGACAAAAATCATTTAATTCAACCATTAATGATAATCAACCCGTTGAGAAATTTAAATTTGTTCAGTTTAATTTTCATGGAACGAACAAAGAATGAGATGCTTCATTAATTTGAAGAGGTATTTTTGAACTTTTTTTGGGATAATTTTATATAGTTAATTCATCATGCCAATTTTATACACCTGTATTAAACCTAGTTTATCTTTATTATGATGAATTTAATTCAGTGATGACTTTGTAATTAGTAGCCATTAATTTTTACTTGATGAATGGGTAGGTTGGTATTATTTCTTTCAGCAACACTTAATGGAAGTTCCTCGAAACTAAACAAGAAATGAATAAAAATGTTAGGGATTGTAATTGCTCATGACTTTTTGCTCCCTCTTTGAAGATTTTAAAGAAATGGTGTATAAATATATTTCTATGGAACATGGTAAAGGTGGCATACAAGTTGTTTATATGGATGAGCTCACTTACGGCTAAATAATTATTCACTTTGATTTATTCTCTATGTTTCTAGAGTCACAAAAGAACATAAATGTAACTAAGCTAATTGTCCACATGTTTCAATCACAAAACCATTTAATCTATATAGGTCATATTCGGGAGATCAATTATACACATAGTACTTCTTATTAAACACTTCAATTCCTCCGTTCCAAATTAGACAACACAGTTTGACTTTTTCCACAATTCACATAACCTGCTTTGACTTCATTTTATGATTTCTTGTTGAGAAAAAGTATAGTCGTGTGAGGTTGTGTTAGATTCGTCTCAACATCTATATTTTAAATATTAAATTTTTATAATTTTTATTAATACGTAATCAAAGATATTTCGATTAGAAAGTATGCATTGGCAAACATGCCTAAATAAAATGTGTCATCTAATATGAAACGGAGGAAGTATGTTTTTGGTTGTTAGTTTGAGTTTAAATGATTTGTAGGAAGTGGTGAATTGGAGGTTTAGTGAAGTAGACATAATTAATCTTTACTTCATCAACTAAGCTAAATATTATTTACTAAGATTTCACTCTATTCACCTAGCTTATTTTCACTAATTTTACTAAGTCTA